CGACCAGAGAGAGACCAGAGAGAGACCAGAGATAGACCAGAGAGAGACTAGAGACCAGAGAGAGACCAGAGAGTGACCAGAGAGAGACCAGAGAGAGACCAGAGATAGACCAGAGAGAGACTAGAGACCAGAGAGAGACCAGAGAGCGACCATAGCGAGACCAGAGAGAGACCAGAGCTGGACCAGAGATAGACCAGAGAGAGAGACAAGAAAGAGACCAGAGAGAGAGACCAGAGAGACACTAAAGAGAGACCAGAGACAGACCAGAGAGAGAGACCAGAGAGAGAACAGAGAGAGGTGCACTGTGAAATGTCTGTTCTGGAGGTTCTTGATTAATCCAGAGACTTAGATCCAGTTCTTAGAATAATCAATTACTCTTCTGGCCCCTGGAAAAGCCCTGTTACAGCTTCTTCCCTCTGGCAGAAAATATCGTTGTCTGGTGCACACTGGGGACTTTTGCAATTGTATTCCAATAGTTTTACAACAAATGGCAAATAAACTGAATCTGAATGCTGCCTGTGGACAGTGTGTGGCACATGTTGAAGTTCACCAGAGAATGAGGCCATGAATCTTTTTGCACTTATAGATTTGTCCTAAAGTTACATGTGGATATGAACGATCACAAGACATCGGTGCAGCATTGGACAAGTAACTAAGTCATTTTAAGTTTTTTTATATAGCGCCTTTCACAACCCAGAGTCAAAAACCGCTGCTACAATTGTGGGCATTTGTCTCTCACTCCACACAGAGATGGGAGCAGGATACAGGAGGCACAAGCCAGACCTAGTGTACATGTTTTTAGCGGTAGGGGAAACCGGAGCACCTGGAGGAAACCTATGCAATAGCTAGACAATAGACCATCCTGCTTTATGTGCATTTGAGATCTGTCCATACAAGTGGCACAGTGCCCCTCTCGCTTCACATGAATCTCCCCAAAAATAAAACTAAAGCTTATATCCAGAAAGACACTGGAAAAACCTTTAATCTTCAAACTGGAAACTCGACCTGCAGCTGTTTTCCATAAACTGTCTTTTCTTCTAACCACTCATCTTCATTTACTTGCAGAATTCACATTGATCAAACCTTTGTCTGCTTATTGCATATTTCATGTCTAGTGCTGGATATAAAACACTTGTAAATTCTCAGTGAATGGCAATCAACGTGCGATTTGTCCGATTCAAGCCATCCGTCCAGAGAGACTCAGACCCATGCGGCCTACAGCGGACCACCTCGTACACTACGGAATAGAATGTTTCTCCTTATTGCGGTCGACGTGTTGTTTTGGAAGCCGCAGAAATGAGGAGAATGTTTGGCCCGAGCGGCGCGTGGACGAAGCGTGCTCAGTCATTGTTATCGTCAACAATTAGGTTCTTTCATCGAATTGGCAGGAAGTGAGAGAGCGGCCTGAGATGGAGGCTGTGCCAACGCTGGGTAAGATCAAATACTCCGCTTCGTTTGCCAAGGACGGCAATTAAAGCACATTCCAGTCCAGAGCTGATGTCGGTTTTAAATGTCTCCAAAATTTCCTTTTTAACATTTGTGGAAACAGTATGGATTATTAACATGTGTGTCCACTCAGGTCGGCCGCACAAGAAATGCACTGTTCTCCTTTGATGAGAGAGCTAATAAATTATCATATTTGTCCAGAAACATAGTTGAGTGAAAAGTTGTATTTTGTTTCATAATCAGAGCCGAAAGTTCAGGATGAAGTCCGTGCGAGTTCAGGCATTTAAGGTTTTCTCTTTACTTAAACAGCGAGGGCTCATGGGAGTCAACAAAACAAACAGTACGAGTACAATCATAATGAAACAAGTTGATATAGACTCGGGCCAAGTTCAGCCAGAGCGCCACATCCGGCCCGGTTCACATTTCTGTTAGGACACTGGACCCTTTCTAGCCCTTTACTCCAAACCGGTCTGTAGCTTTATTAAATATAACTCAGGAGTCAATGCCCAACAAGGACGTGTAACTTAAAATGTGCTCCCATGTTAAGTTGCATGTTTGTTCTGTTAATATAATAATAAGCTCTAAACAAAATCTCTGAAAACACAGAGGAAGCACCACTTTGACTAATAATATATATGTATATGTATAAAGAAATAGCAGTCTCACATATGTGCATTTATATGTATTTGGGGCAATGGTAGCTTAGATGGTAAATCATTGCCTGAGGCCCCCACTGAAGCACCACGGCTGTGGCACCACTGATGTAGCAGCCATCTTCCGGGAATCTAACAAAACCATTGAAATCAACAACACAGATTAGAGAATCAACAGTTAAGACACAATAAAATACACATATGTATCGGTCAATAAGGAGATCGATGTCCATGAATGGTGGTAAATGTCCATACATGTGTCCTGGATCATCATCACAGTCCTTCTTGTTAGACACCGACTGTCCAACAGACTCCTGCATCAGAGGAACAACTCTAAAACCCAGTGGGAGAAAACTGAGAAACCCCGGGGAGATCCATATCGAGAGAAGGATTTTCACCACACGGACGGGTTTTGTAATGAATGTATTCATTTATATGTATTTGTGTATTCAATATTTGCGATTGCACTGGTTTTATGCTAAGCTGCATTTTAACATTGTTGTAATGACAATAAAGTAATGAGTAAGTTAAGTGTTGTTTTTGTTTTATTAAGACATAAGAAATATTATGCAATGTTCAGTCTGGATGGCACAGACTGGCACTGGCTAGAGTCTGGTTGGCACAGACTAGCACTGGCACTGGTTGGCACTGGCAAAGACTGGAAGAGGAAGTAGCTTACACTGGCACTGGTTGGCACAGACTAGCACTGGCACTGGTTGGCACTGGCAAAGACTGGAAGAGGAAGTAGCTTACACTGGCACTGGTTGGCACAGACTAACACTGGCACTGGCACTGGCACAAGCACTGGCACTGCTACTGGCACTAGCACTGGCACTGGCACTGGCACCTGTTGGCACAGACTCGCACTGGCACAAGCACTGGCACTGGCACTGGCACTAGCACTGGCAATGGCACAAGCACTGGCACTGGCACTGGCACTGGCACTGGCACTGGCACCTGTTGGCACAGACTCGCACTGGCACAAGCACTGGCACTGGCACTAGCACTGGCAATGGCACAAGCACTGGCACTGGCACTGGCACTAGCACTGGCAATGGCACAAGCACTGGCACTGGCACTGGCACTAGCACTGGCACTGGCACTGGCACCTGTTGGCACAGACTCGCACTGGCACAAGCACTGGCACTGGTTGGCACAGACTAGCACTGGCACTGGCATTGGCACTGGTTGGCACAGACTCGCACTGGCACTGGCACTGGTTGGCACAGACTCTCACTGGCACTGGCACTGGCACTGGTTGGCACAGACACAGGCTTCAGAGAATCGTAAACAACTCACACGTGCGGAGTGTGTTGCTGCTCGGAGCTTATTGTGATGTGGTCTCGCTGCTTGTTCTCCCCATGACTTTTAAGAGGCGTTTATGAAGACGACAAACGCACACATGCTGCAGCAGCTGGAATCATCACCAGAGCTGTTTACATTAGACCAGATACCCCACAACCCCCCTCCTCCCCTCCCCCCCTCCCACACCCTCACCCTCACCCTCACCCAGTCCCTACACCATCTGATTCTCTGCATCTCTGTGTTTACGATAGCACCAAAGCCTTTATTACCGTCGGCTCTGTCATAACAGGCAGTGGCTCAGGCCGAGGTGGAGGCAGGAGGGAGAACATACACGTGGTGCTGGATGTAGTCTCTCTCCTTCACCTGTGCCACTCTGCTCTAGAAAGAAAGGCGAGTTTATTGGTTTAGCACAGTTCATACGCAAGGCGACTCAAAGTGCTCAACGTTCCACAGACAACAAAAGGCATTAAAATCATAAAATATCACAGTACATTCAAAAGAGTGAATATTAAATCCCTCAGTCGTAGCACGGATAAACTGAACTTTTCTTAACCTAGATTTGAACATTGTCAAAGAAGAAACCTGTCTCACATTTTCAAGAAGACCGTTCCAGATTTTACCAGCATGAATTTGAAACCCAGACTCTCCATGTTTAGTCCTGGGCATCAAAAAAAGTCCAAAAAAGATTGGGTTTTATGAATTTTATGTCACAGATTTCACCACTGGAAACAACGAACAACAGCACAGTGATTCAGACGGGGTTTGAGGCGTCGCGGCGAAATAAAAAGATATATTTAGACATATCAGCTTCTCCTTGAAGCACCGGAGATTCATCACACTCCAAAACAAGCCGTGACTATAAAAAAAACTCAAAGACCACAACAACCGGAGCGGTCACGAACGAAAAATAAACAAATGGGTTTGGCATAATGAGTTTGGCAGAATGGTCCTACTGCAGCGGAGACACGGACACTGAGACGACCGAGGGAGAGGAAGGTTCCTGTAAAAGTTCCACCCCGCTCCTTTTACCAGGAACTGCTGCGGTGGAAACACGGCTGTAGAGACACATCATAGAGTCACAACAACAAGAAGACAGAGTCACAACAAGCAGACATCATAGAGGAACATAAACCTCAAATGGAAATGACCTGAGGAAACTCAGAGAAAACATGAAAGAGAAAGAGATTTACTCATTTAATTAAATATCTCAAGACTTTGATCTGCTCTATCCTTTAAGTGCGAGCGCAAAATATCGCGATACTGAACAGAATTGTTTCCCCTCCGTTTTCACTTACTCGTCTTGTCTTTCCCGCAGTTTGGTTTTGTACATTTACTTTTGTACTATGACTCAGGATTGTAATTTTGCATTTGCTTTGATTAAATACTTTTTTTTAAATCCTGTGTATTGGGTTTGTTTCTTTCTGCCCCATGACATGAAGGCTGTGAACCTGAGCCTTCATGGCTGTTGGCTGCGGAGGCTCTGATGTCATCATGAAGGGACGGGCCCTTTGATACGCAGCTCAGGGATTTCATGCTCCTGTGTGTGGAACAGGCCGTGGCGCTCAGCTGGCAGGTACAGTAGAAACTGGAGTTTTATTAGCTCTGCCCAGGGGGATTAGTGAGAGCCAGAGCCAGAGGGGCGGAGCAGCCGGAGCGGCGGCAGGGGCCCTCACTCTGCACCAGGGGCCACCGAGCTCTGAGTCCATTCAACTTCAGAGCTGCGTTTCTCAGGCCATAATGTGAGAGTGTAGCACCAAAGCTTATAATCTCCTCCAAAGACTGAGGAATCTGAGGCAGTATATTACTGTGATGTGACATGATCCACGCTCAGAGGTCACTGTCGTCCGCACAAAACATAATAAAGAAGAAAACTCTGTTCTCCCCAAAGTGCTCTCTGCCTGAAGCTGGTTCTAGTCTCAACATCTATTATAAATATGGGACTTTTGAGAGAGAGGGACTGAAAGAGGGAGAGAGAGAGAGAGGTGTTTTTTTTTTTTTGTCTTCACTATTGTACTATTTCTGTTGTTTAATCATTTATTTTTTTAAATTATTTCAAATCTTTCCAGGGACAACGGATGAAAACAACAAATGAGAAATAGCCTTGTGGCTGATTATAGTACATTTACAGTGATGTTCATTATGTACACTGTCAAATAATATAGAAATATACAAATATAGATACTTTACTCCAGCAGCAGAAACACATCCATCTGTTGAATACATACTTCTAAAAGTTACTAACAACGGTAATAAAATGCAAGGAGCAACCTGAATATGCGGAAGATTGAATATAAAAGTGTGGATAATTGTGAGAAGTTGTAGAATAAACAAAGTGTGGTCAGGACAGATCTGATTGGAGCAGCAGATAGAGGACCTTCCACAGCAGTGAGGACCTGCCACGGCTGACATACACAGTGAGTCCACTGCCTTGTGGGTCAGTGATCTAGAGGTGCCCGTGGTGATCAGTGCACTCCGGACAGTGACCCCTAAGCTGGAGGAGTTGTTACAGCAGATCCCTGGAACAACCTTGGAAAAATCTCGGTCCAAAAATGTGCAGTGCTAGGAACAGCAAAGAAACTGCGCAAAACCCTCCCAGGCCTCTGGTCCTGGACCGAGGACCGAGCTGAAGGAGAACGTGGCAAAAATTGCTTTGGCTCTTGGTAAAAACAAGTCAAAAGCAGAGAAAGAATAAGTCATAATAAACATATCTAAACGTTTCTGGAATACAAGTCGGTTATCGCGGACTTGGTCGACTGGTGTGAGCGCAATCACTTGTGCTTGAACACCAGTAAGACCAAGGAGATGGTCATCGACTTCAGAAGAAAACCATTTTCCCACACTGGTGGACAGCCTCAAGTACCTGGGTGTTCACATTAACAATAAACTGGACTGGTCCCATAATACAAACGCCCTGCACAAGAAGGGCCAAAGTCGCCTCTTCCTTCTGAGGAGGCTGAGGTCCTTCGGAGTGAGCAGGCCTCTGCTCAGGACTTTTTATGACTCTGTGGTAGCTTCTGCCATTTACTACGCTGCCGTGTGCTGGGCCCCGGGCAGCACAGAGCGGGACAGGAGCAGACTGAACAAGCTGGTCAGGAGGGCCAGCTCCACTCTGGGCTGCCCCCTGGACTCTGTGGAGGAGGTGAGGGACAGGAGGCCCCTGGACTCTGTGGAGGAGGTGAGGGACAGGAGGCCCCTGGACTCTGTGGAGGAGGTGAGGGACAGGAGGCCCCTGGTCTCTGTAGTCAGTGGAAGACTGAGGCACCCTCAGTGCAAGAAGGATCAGGGCCTCTATCCCCACCGCTGTCAGACTGTACACTTAGTCACTTTAAATCATTTGCACATTTTCTTTTTTTTTGCTTTCAACATGTTTGCCCACTTCTGTCTTTGGTACCATCTGAGTGATTCTATCCATGCCAAATGTGACATGTACATTTCTCCTGTGTGAGATCAACCAAGTGTTATCTTATCTTGTCTTCTAAGTACTGACACAAAATATCATAATAATTATCTTATCGGAAATGAATCCTTAGACACACTCCTTCTCTGTTCTAGTCTGGCTCCAGGTTTATTACGTAAATACACGAACAGACAGAATATTACACTCAGAGAACCAATAAACCATATACGTATGCAGAAATGAACAATAGGCCCTAAATACATTTGTATGCATCGTTCTGAAACAGCCACGGTGCATATTAGTAAACACTAAAAGACAAAACAGTGGGAATAATAACGTTGCATTAGAGGCGTTACTGTAGCCTGGTACACGGAGCTCTGCCTGCGCCCTGGGACGTCTGGGCACCACTGCAATTTATTTTTTCAGCTTTCTGTGCGCCATGGAAATAAGCAGATTAGGTGATGGATCGGCCTCCCGGGAAGACGCTCTGGAGGCAGGCAATTACAGGCGTGTCTTCACTCCGAGCGCAGTGTCAGAGGAGGATTTCATTAGCTCCGGTTGGACCTGGGTCACACATGTTACCGAAGATTATTGCCCCTTTGTGCAGGGGCCAGAAGGCTGCATTCTGTATTCTAATGTTTTCAATGGCCCTAATTCGCAGCAGTAGTTGAGGACTTTACAAAGCTGCTGATTCGCCAACACAGATCAGAGAATCAAACAATGTAATGACAATAATACACAGAGCCATTGGTCCATAAAGAGACCTACTGTATGTCCATAAATATTAAAAATGTCCATTATTGTGGTTGAATGTGCAGTGTCCTGGATCATCTCTGTCCTTAGAGCCTCCTGCCTCAGAGAGAAGTGAGTTTTGTTTCTAACGTGACAGAACACATACATTTTACACTCTTTGAAAGTGTGTGTTTAGAGCATAAACTGTAAATATTAACAGCCATAGCGACGCCTATCTCCGCCTTTGAAACTATTGTGCCATCACTTTTGGCTTCTATGGGGCTTTTTCAAAATAGCCGCGGGGCAGGAAAATGTGAAAAAAATGTATTTGTACATGCGTTACCAGACACCAGTTCCATTTATTTAACGAGTGCATTCTGAAGTCCACAGCGGCTAAACTAGACCCGTCCGAAAAAATGTACTCCCCTCAGCATTGACAGCATCTGGAACGTATAATGTTGGGCCAAGAGTCACATTTGGACCATCCTGTGAAGCCGTTTTCGAGAGGAAAGCAGACGCCATACAAAAGCATAGGGTAATTCTCTTTCCGGGTACACCCCCACCAGCCCGGGTTGGTTTTGCAAGTACAGTATGTCAACGCACGTGCTCATGGACTTTTTGAGTCAGGACCTGCCCCCAACTGGTTTAGAGATGTGTTTGAAAGGCTCAGGTGAAGCTGCAGTACGTGACTTTCAAACCATGCAATAAAAATGTTTGTTTTTATCGTCTGTCACATCTTTATGTCAGCTTCAGATTTTACAATGAATCCTCAGCTCGCGGCACAAAGCTTCAAATAGTGACACGGCTCAAGAATGCAAAAAATAATAGCAACATTTTACTTATATAATTATTATTTGTATTTTATTAGTGTGTTGGCTGTTGAAACATTATTTTATTGTGGTGCCTTTTCACTGAATCTGTGGTTTTATTTACACACATATATACGTATATTTATATAGTTCATACATATACATGAAAGTTACATACCCCAGCTTTGAGACTATTAGAGAACGATATCCAAAAACATACGTCTGTGGTAATTCAATCTTTACGTAGTGATAAATAGTGTGGTTTGTATTAATGATGCCATAATAAAGCCTGAGCTCTGATTTCCTGATCCAGGTCCATTTCTGTGACTTTCTCCGTGTGTGGAGCATGTTTCTCTTCAGTAACACTCACCGACATTTCACATCTGATTACAATTTATGGTTCCATTTGTGAGCGTTCACCATTGGTCTCTGATAGCCACTGCTTCCTTCTCCTGTGTCACTGATACGAGCAGCAGGAAGAGCGCGGTGATGAAAGCCGAGCGCGGCGTTAAGCACTTTAGGGCCGAAGACTGCGTTTGTGCTGCAGAAAAAACAGGTCTCATCGCTTCATTTACACCAGAACTCTCCTTTAAGTTTAAGTGTATTTACTCTTTTCTCAAATTCAAATGCATCTATTCTTGGTTGCTTGTTAACTAACTTTCTATGGTACCTAAAGCCTGGACTACCTCTGGTTCTGGTCCAGTTTTCCACCAGAGATCAGCCTGTGCTAGTTACCATAGCAACGCACCTTTTACTTGCAGCCGTTAGCATTAGCTTTTCAACAAACAAAACCACTTACTTTTAATGAATCAGGTGAAAAACTCAACATTCTTGGGGGAATTTTCTAGAATTCGATTGGTTTGAATGGAAGCAGTCAAAATGACGGCTCTGTGAGTTCTAGTATTGTCATAATTGTGGAGGTCCTAGTCTCAGTGATGTACTGTATCATATTTGCACGTCATATACACAGTGGTTCTCAATCGGTGGAATGGGAATCTAAAAGAGTAGATTATTTTGGGTCGTGAGCCTTTTCTGGGCAACATTTTGAATATATTCTACTGCAGCAAAAGGTCTGAAAGAACAACTTCCGTGACAATAACAAATATCTACAGAAAATGCTCTGTAGATATTTAAAATGTATAGATACATTTTAAAAACTATATGTATGTTGTGTGTATTTGTATGTTGTGTGTATTTGTATATTGTGTGTATTTGTATGTTGTGTGGAGCGATCAGGTTCTCAGAGACGACACACATGGTCTATAAAGGTTTTTTACACATTTATCAAGCTAGGAAAAAACATAAAAATTCAGCTCTGACGTTTTTTTGTTTTTTTTTAAAGCTTTTATAGAACCGTTGTATCCGAGGTTGGCGCGGGGGTTGAATGTCTTGTTTTGTATTTGTTCAATCAAAGCGAAAACACCACATCTGATCTTCTGGAATGGACTGATTGATTGTCATCTCGCCTTATTATCCGGGAGCACATTCCTAAAGCCAGAGTCTGAAATCCATCACTCCCAGAATCACGGCCAGTTTCTTGCACCTCGGTTTGAAATGTGCCCAAACTTTCTCAGTACTTTCAGATTTCCTGATGCTCTGCACAGGTCCACGATGGTTTTCCATCCTGTCGCTGAGTGTGGGACGAACGTGAGGCTTGTGAGGACGAAAAAAGATCAACAGCAGCAGATCCAGAAAATCCATGTTCAGACGAAGAATATAGACTTTTACTGTTGTGCAGATGTGAACAGAAGAAGCAGAATAAGTACAACACAGACTACAAGACCATCAACAGAACCATGTTGGATCTTTTAGACAGTTGTTTGAATTTGTGTGTTCTGTGTATGTGTGTG